TTCCCAGACAGCCTGTGCCCATTTTCTCTACTCAAAAGATAAGTTTTCTGTTTTGTTTTGTGCTGAAGGGATGTGCTGCCATTTAGGAGTAGGAGTCTGGTTCTTGCAGATCTAGAAAGTGGGGAGCGGAGACTCACAGTCTGCGGGCCAGATCAGCAGAGGAGCTGTGCTTTTGTTTGGTCTGCACGATGTCTAAAATCAGGAATTTTCAGACAGAGCCTGGATTTCTGGATCTTGAAAAATGTGAAGATCTGGCAACACAGAGCTTGAGTTCCCACACAGCAACAATTGCAGAGTTGAGCAGCAGAGGCTTCATGCGCGTGTGGATGGAGCTTACTCTCGAGGCCACGGTCATCACCACTTCCTATTGTCTGGCCTCACTTCACTCAAGGGATTTCTCTTTCATATCCTACAGACATCTGGGTCCAAAACACCTGGATTAAAGCACAGATTTATGCTGTAATAGTGCAGTAATTTTTGCACACTTTAAAATGGCCACTAAACCTTTAGGACAGCTGTTGATAAAGCCGGATTACCGACCCCAGTGACTCTGGCCTGCCTGACCATCCATAGCACTATTTTACCTAGAACTTCTTTCCATAAGGAATTCAATCATGTAAGATATACATTCCACCTGTAATTGTGTATTTACTACTACCAACATGACTTTCAAACAATTCCCAATAAATTCTTTCTAATCAAATAGCTGCCTTAAGTATAATTTCTTAGATATAGAAGGAATGGTATACTTCTGTCCATATTCCAAGAAAAGGCATTTTTTAGTCCATTTTTGTAATAAAATTTTAAGAGCCACCACTATTATCCCAATGCTAAATAAAAGTTATTAGAAAATAAAGTGAAAGTCACTCAGTCATGTCCAACTCTTTGTGACCCCATGGACTATACAGTCCATGGAATTACCCTAACCCTAACCCTAACCTTAATCTAACCCTAACCCTAAATTCTCCAGGCCAGAATACTGGAGTAGGTAACCTTTCCCTTCTCCAGCGGATCTTCCCAACCCAGGAATCAAACCGGGGTCTCCTGCCTTGCAGGCAGATTCTTTACCAACTGAACGATCAGGGAAGCTCAGAAAATAAAACTGCCACACCTTTATTCCTGCAAAAAAATACAAAATTAAATAAACATATACATATACAAATAAACATAAACGAGAGGATGAATAACTCAAAAATAAGAGAGAGGCTAACATTTCTTGAACCATTTGCTTTGAACCAATATCTGTGTTTACAGCGTTCCCTTACCAAAAAAAAAAAAAACAAAAACCTATAGAGATAGCATGTCCCCATTTTAGCATGAGGAAACAGACCAGTATGTAAAGGAACCTGCCAACATCACCTTGCTAGTAACGGGGAAAGTAAGGATTAACACCAAATTAATTTAGCCCATGAAGTTAAACAAATAAATAAAACGGCACACTCTCCTCCCAAAAGTTCCAATGAAATAAAGTCACTGGAAAAAGCGGAGGACTGTAGCATCTTGCGGCAGGACAGCATCTTCGTAATCTGATCCAGCTCCATATTTTACTGATGAGAAAGTGGGTAGAAGGTCCCATTCAGAAGGTCGAAGAGCTAGTTTCTGCAGGGCCAGGCCTGGCAGGCAGAACTCTTCATCTCTGCTCCATGGCAGGCGCTCTTATCTAAGAGGGAAGAAACTTAATCTTCTCTGCCTCCATTTCTAATCTTTGGGCCATGATTGCTATTGGAAAGGTTGTGAAGTTGATGGCTAAAGGCTGCCAGGCCCCTGGTAGCTTCAGCTACTCATTTTACATAAAAGTAAGGGCAGAGCAGTGTTTGTGGAAATTAAGTTTTCATTTCTAATCTGTTATGTGTGTGTTAGTCGCTCAGTCGTGTCTGACTCTTTGCGATCCCAAAGACTGCAGCTTGCCGGGCTCCTCTGTCCACAGAATTCTCCAGGCAAGAATACTGGATTCGATAGTCATTCCCTTCTCCAGAGGATCTTCCCAAACCAGGGATCAAACCCAGGTCTCCCACATTGCAGGCAAATTCGTTACCCATTTCAGTTATAATGAATATTTATACATTTCTTCTATCAATTTAAAATTGATCCTGGCATTATGTATTTATCACATAACAAAAAATAAATTTTTGTTTTTAAACTATGCAAAAAAAGAGCAGAATTAATGAGTTATAAGCATTGTGAATTTCAAACAGAAAGCATTCATTAAAATCACGTAAAATTCGGTCTCTCCTTCCTTGAATGGGGTTTTCTCCTGCTGCAATTGATGATATCGGGCACACCCAAGGCTGAACAACATTCCGTCCCCCTTAAAAAATCTCTCCTGCTCCAGAGAAACTAAATATGATATAATCAATTATATAACAACCCACAGGCCAACAAAGGCCTAATCAGGTCTGTAAGCAGATCGTAAAAATGCCCTTTAAAATTACTTAAAATATGTTCAGTAATAACTAAAATGAGCATGCATGAAAAAACATCTTTGGATTTTAATAATTCATTCTTATTTCACGTACAATATTCAGCTCCCAAAACATCATGTGAGTCTCCCATCTTTAATAAAAAAGGCCCCCAATTCCATTAAATAATGAAGAAATTTCTGCCTTAATGATACATTTACATGAATTTTTTCAAATTTCCCACAATTATGACCTTTGCTATTGAAGAGCTTCATTAAAAATATAAAAGATGAAATGGTTAAGGGTTTAGAATCAGCATAGCTTTCTTTTTAAAGGAAATGGGATTACTACATGAGTATCCCTTTGTCAAAGTTATTAACACATAACCTTCACGTGAGTATGACAAGGATTGTTTTAAGCCCTCTCCAAATTTCCCCAAACCATCTCCATGGCCACCGCCACCTCCCACGGCAGTTGGCGGTTCAGTGCTTCAACAGGAGCTAGGCCGCCCAGCGGGTCACTTTGAGCTCCATCACACATGCACCCAGTCCAGTTATTTCCGGGGAACTCTGAGGTCCCCTCCATCCACCCATCAATCTCCCATCAGTTCTACATTAGAGAAGGATTCGGAAAAGTTGAGTCCTGTCCTGCAAGGGCCTGAGAAAATCTCAGAGCTGAGGAATGCTGCGTCTCTCTAGCGGAGGGACAGTTACTGAGGCTGGGGCAGACCACAGGGCTGAAAACTCACCCTGTTCATCGCTGCTCCCCGGCATGGCTCTTACAACGGAATGGGACTCCGCAGGCTCACTTCTCAGGCGCCAACTTGCTTTAGGATTCCGTGTTTAGAACTTTGACTTATTTTAGTCTTAAGGAAACAAGTGGGAGGGGACTCCCTTGTTCATCTGGTCCTTCCCCAAACTCAGTATAAAGGGAACCACTGGAATTATCCTATCTTTTGTTTGGGCGTCCCTAGGAGCTGGGAACTCAATCCACAGTAGGAAAGGCATCCATTCTCAGAGTTCTCCAAGTGGAAATCAGATTCTCTCTCTAAACCCCATCTTCTGATCCTACAGCTGCTTGTTGGGATTATACACAGAGTAAGGTTCATTCCCCTCAGCTGGTAAACACTAGAAGATTAAGACTTCCATGGACTCCTAGAGTTTTAAAGCCACAGAGGCTTTCTTTCTTTCAGTACCCTCCCATCAGCTGTGAGTGGGGAAAGTCACTTGTCCAGATCATACAACCAGTCTGAAGAACCAAACTCTTGCCTCCTTGTCTCTTCCCTTACTACCTGAAAGAATGCAATGTTAGATTCCTTATACTTCTCCAATCAAACCATGAGCATCACTACTTTGCCCAACCCTTTCACCCCCCCTTCAGAATTTCACCAAATTGTTTGAACTTTGCCTGGAAATAGTTGTGAAAATGACTACCATTACATTAACACTGTAACATAGAAACACTTATTTATCAACATTTTGTATGCTTTATTGAAAGTTGACAAGTGCAACAGTTAAATACAGTGACACCTTACAACTGTGTAGAGAACATGCACAGAAACATATGCAGATAACTACTATACAGGTAATATGCAGAAACTCCTACTGGGAAATCCATTAGCTAGAACTTCGCATTTTTCAAAGTATTCAACCAGTTCAATCAAAGGATTTCAGTGAACAGGGAGTGACTTCAAGATACTCAGTAGCTAGAAGATTGCAGATTACACAAAGTGACTAACTGTGCCAAATTCTTAAAATCTCTTTAGGGAGGTGTGTTTTGCTTCATGGGTTTTTCATGGAGATCGCTATAGAAAAGACAATCCACACCTCTTCAGACAGCCAATGAAACATCTAAATTGCAATCTGTACAACCTAAATAGTAGTTACAGTCCTCTATTGTACAAAATAGTTACACTACATACACAAATATACAATAAGCAAAACAACCTTCATGGTAAGAGAGCTTAGGTCCCAGCTACCTGTCACCATTTAGTCACGCTAATAGTTTTGTGTCATCCACTGTTTTGGAAAGAGGCACAGTACAATTTTTTTTTTTAAAATGGAGTCTGGTGACAGTCGTCGTTTGTACAATGAACTATGTTTTCCCCTCATCTTAGGTGAGACTAAGCTTCACTCTTGACCTTCACCTCCCTTTCCAGTTCCTCTCAGGGGAGGAGAGGAAAGTCCAGTGGCAAGCTCCTCTGCTTCGGAACCCCATGGAGTACACTACCATGCAAGCAGGAAGAACTCTTGGAGGTGGGGAGGGTGGGGAGCAGGGGTGGGGGGGTGGAAAGGCACAACAGCTCCTCAGAATGAATGAAACCATTTCTCACGGTTCTGCCAAGCTGCATGAGGTCCCGGTATATCCATGCTAATTCTCTGATTAACCTTTAACTCACCCAACTAAGAAATTTCTTCAAGCCGAAAGCATATGAGTGTTTTAATACTGGAAAAAAGAGAAAACGGCCATGTGTCAGTCTCACGTCTCTTTTGCAGCGAGCAATGAAATGGGTGACGGTGGGGGCGGACCCCTCCCCTAGTACATCTTCTCAGGTCTGTTCAGTTCGGACCACAGCAGCCAGTTCTTCGGGGGCCGGGATGGCTACGCGGTTGGTCCTGAGCCCTGGGACGCTGGCTGGGCCGGGGGCTGTGTGGTCCCCTGTGGCTGTGTGGTGGCAGGGGGCGAGCCAGTCTGCAGCTGGGCCTGGAACTGGGCAAGCTGCTCAGGACTGGCCAGTGTCTTCAGCAGATTGTTCTCCTGCTCCAGCTGGGAATTTTTCTCTATGAGTTCCTTGATCTGTTCCTTGAGGACCTCCACTTCCTCTCTAACCGCATACATCAAATGGCTTTTCACCAGATCCTGAAAGGGAGAAAAGGAAGGAGGGGGGGGATAGGTTTAACGTTCTATTGACTGTTTCCCGGACTCTGAATTGTTAAAACATTTTTCATGTCTCTCCCTAACGACGACATATCCTGCCTTTAGAGGTTCATTTAACAGGCTCCAGGGGAAAACGACGTAATACCACCTTAACTGTACAATACTTCAGTTTAACGTGTAAGTGATCAAGCTTTTGCTTTCCTTGCAGCCGTTGGCCAGAAATGCCTACGCTCAGGTTTCCTATTCGAGATGGCAAAAGGCAGCCGGGCTCAGAGATGTCCAGCCCCGGAGCAGCGGGAGCCACGACCCCGCCCCCAAGCCCCTCCCTCCGCCCGCTGGACCGCCTCCCTCAGCACCGGCTGCAGCCAGTTCCTACAGAGCGTGTTGCCGCATTTTCCTCCCCCCACCCCCCTTTTCGTGATTAAGCTGACATCACAGAAACCTGGGCAGCCGTCGCAGCCAATGGGCGCTCGAGTTATTTATAGCTCCGAATTAAAGGTTCGGAGTTTGCCTAGCAACAGTGGGCAGAGAATCCCGTGAGAAGAGCCACAGGCGCTGCTCCAATAACAAAGAACGGCCAAGGCGGAAATAAAAAATAGCAGAAATCCAGGAGCAGGCTGAGGCGGCGAAACTTTTCTCCAGCTCTTCATTGTGCAGGAGTCTCCACCACTGGGGATCCGTTTGGCCCCGTGTAGGAGGCTCCTTCCCGAGAACCCCCACTTCTGGGGCCCTCCCCGCTCCCGGCACCGCGGTAAACCTTACGATCCCTAGGAAAGCCACATCACGAGCGATGTGCCCGAGACCGAAGGACACGCTGGGCCAGCGCTTTCCCAGCAGTTCCCCAGCAAAAAAGGGGCAGGCACCTCCGCCAAAATCTTGACGGTTGTTTGAAATCGGTCCTGGAAAGAACATCGAATACCCGCAGCGTCCCTTTCTCTCTCCTTAGCAGCCCTGGTATGTGGCTTCATGCTGGCAGAATGGAGACAGTGCCGGTATTTCTAAATGTATGGAGAGCAGTCATCGTCTTCTACGGATGCGCTCCTTTCATCCCAAGACACCCTGCATTTTGTACTGTGCCCACATTTAGTACAAACGATTTTTAAAACAGTACATACCATAGCTTGCTCGATTTTGTTGTCAATAGCTACCACGCTTGCACCAGATGAGCTGAAAAAGAAAAGGGGAAAAAAAAATCAATAAATGGGATCTTTTTTCTATCCCAGAAAAAAAGAATTCCCCAATTCTGTGCTGTTACTAACATCATTTTCTGAACATTCTTTAATGCCTTGTAATATATCACCCTCCAGAAAACACCAGCCACTCTCTTCCTAACGAATATCCAGACATTTCCCTATTTAAGTGAGCCACAAAGGCTAAATTACATAATGTGGTAAATCCCTGTGCTCTGGCCAGACCTGCAAAAACAAGGCTATTCGGAACATTTCAAAAAGCAACATCCATGTCACCATAGCCTCTCAGCAATGGACAAAGGAATTCGCTGGGCTATCTTTCACCTGCATTATTACAAGGATCTCACGAGTAAATTTTTAAAAGTATCCCAGCCGACATTTACCTATTGTCAAGTCTCACAGAGGCGTTTTCGGTCCCGAGCAAGGATGACAAGAAAGAAATTGAAAAATGTCTCAGTTGGTAAACTCCTAGATCCATCGCCACTGGTCTACACCATTGGGATTTCATGCAATTGCAGCCAAAAATACCCTCGCAGGAAAAAAAAAAAAAAAAGGGAATACTAGCCGCCTTGTTGGGGCTAGATAAAAATCTTCTAGCTTTACGCAGCTCAGGGAGAAACAGAAAACGGCAGCACTAATTGAAAGAAGCCCGGCTTCTGAGGTTTGGAGGTTCCGGGAAGACGCAGCTCCCACTGCTGTGCGGAGAAGGATCCCTGGTCAGCAACCGGGCTCCACTAGGCTCTAGCCTAACGCGCCCCGTCTCCGTGCAAAATATATGCAGGGAAGAGCCGCGCCGATTGGCCAGCACGCCGCTGGATCCGCCCCCTCCCCTCTTCCCCGCCCTCCTCCCGCTGCCCCGCCCCCCTCCCCACTCCAACCCCACCCCCAGCCTCCCCGACCGGCTCCTCGGGTGGGCTGGCCCAGGCCTCGGCCTCAGGGGCCGGGAAGCGGGCCGCAAGGGGCCTCCAAGATCAAGCAAAGCCCGAGCAGTGCTCGGGCGGAAAACGCCAAGGGGTCCTGAAAATGTGATTAGGGCTCCGCACGTGCTTACGTTTAAGGGAGTCAGATCCCGTCCCTGGAGCTGCCTGTCCCCGTGGCTGCTGAACGGCGAAAGCTGCTTATTTGCAACCAGAACCCTCTGAGCTACTGGGCATGCCCAGTCCCAGCACTTAAAGACTCGCAGGAGCTGGAGTATCTCGATTTCAATTATCTCGTTCTAACAGGCAGCAGTAATTGGAGGACTTTAAGGGTGGTTTTATTTATAAAGATAACTATACTGTAATAATACTTTATTCTAAGCTAGTGAATTTTAGAGGAAAAAAATCATATTTCCTTTGAGAGAGTCTACCTTTCTATGAATTTATCAATTACGTGTAGAAACAAAAAACAGTACATAGTCACTTGCTACGCACATATAAATTGAAGCCAAAAGGAATCTACCAGATGAAATGAGATCTCAAAAGTCCCCACTGCCATAAACCTTAAAATTGCACTTCCTTCCGTGTATAGCTAGGGGAAAAAATCCACAGGTTGAATCCTTCCTACATAGATCTATTTCCACTTTAAGTCCCTAAAGCAAGTTGTTAGATGTTAAGTGCAATTTCTGTAAGAGTCAGTCCTTTGAGCCTTCTTACATCAGCGGAATTGAGATACTGTACAGTCTGTATGTCAACCTTATAGCCACACTGACCAAATAATTCCCTTCTCTAAACCAAAATTAAAATATCTGAGTGTGAAATAGCTTAACCTGTTACATAATTTTCTTCTATTAATTTAAAATATTGCAAGAATGTACCAACTGAGTTTAAAGTTTAATATCCTATAAGTCTAAGGCCTTAAGGTCACTTGATAGGTTATAAACAGCTTGCAATTCAGTACGTTTAAGAAGGTGCATTTAAGCCTCTACAATACTGCCCTCTAATGGCGTAATCCTATAAAGACAGAAACAAAAAACTAAATACTAATAAAGACTTTGAAATAAGCAAATTGAACCATCACAAATAATTCCAACATAAAACTTGACCACAGAATACATATAGGTACGTATTCTATTTACATACACACACACACACACAAACCCACATACAGTCTTTCCTCTCAAGCAGAATCCTTTAATTTAGGAAATTTTAAGTTGCTAGTGGAGCCTCTTAGATAGTCTTTGAAGTTGACCCAATGTTGGCAGAGTGTGTTTGGTTTTAGAAACTGTCCAAAATGGTTAGGTACCACATCTGGTGAATGTGGAAGCTGATGAAAGGGCAATTAATTCTCTTTGGGGTTAAAAAACCAAGGCAGTATCATTCTTTGTTATTATAAGGTTTATACTGTTCTCTAAGCTTTAAGGCTTTGCTTTTGAATAACAAATGATATTCAAGTGATATGCCAATAATTTACAAAAATTATATATTATGATACAAACTTATTTTCAAAAGGAAAACAGTAAGTGGAAGCTCAAAAATCACAATTTGGGAAGCAGATATGTGGTCTGTATGTCTATGAATCTAGGCACAATTATTATTTACTATATTATAGTTTCTATTTATTTTGAAAGTTACAGTTATCATTATGTGATTAAGTCATTTACAAATTTAAATGGAATGTCAACTGCACAGGAAAAAGTAGAGCATCACTTAAGTTGTAAAAAGAGCTTAAAAAAACCAAAACTCTAAGATCATATATAGAAAAGAATTTTAAATTCCCACTGGTTTAAAAAGATTAATAAATTAACTGAATTTTATTTATTCATGATGTTCTTGAAAATAGAAAGTTACAAGTTGGTCATGTTTTCATTTCATTCATTCCAATTGATCATTCAAGTATTAAGCTATAGAAGCCAATATCCGAATTGCAGTCTGTTTACCCCATATCTCTACAGTGGGACTTTATGGTCATCACCAACACTTTGCTATTTTAGATACACTTGCAAGAAACATCCTTGCACATATACCCTTGAACATCTGTAATATATTTCTGGAGAATCTGCTGGGTAAAAAGATAATTAGAAATCTATTTCTTTTCTTATCTTTTCCATAAATGTGCTAGGTTACTTTAAGATAGATTTTCTTTTTAACTAGAGAAAAAATTTTAACCTCTATGAATGTTATAGCCTTTGTTAGATTTGTTAAGTTTGATTTTCATTTCTTTTTTTAACTTCTTATTTTGTACACACACACACAACTGATTAATGATGGTGTGATAGTTTCAGGTGAATAGCAAAGGGACTCAGCCATTCATAGACAAGTATCCACTCTCCCTGGGGGAAAGGATGGGGGAAGGGATAGTTAAGGAGTTTGGGATGGACATGTACACACAGATATATTTAAAATGTATAACCTACAAGGAACTACTGTATAGAGCTTGGAACTCTGCTCAATGTTATGTGGTAGCTTGGATAAGATAGATTTTAAATTGAAAACTGAAAAGACATAATTTCAAAAAAAAGGCAATGAGATTAGAGATCGAGAGTCCATGGGTCAGGAATGTCTGAGGCCCAAGGGACTAAAATTACTTTCCAGCTATTAAAGACAGGTTCTTCCATTTGCAAAATAGAACATCTGTGAGTTTAGTGCCCAGAGTTTAACCAAGGACAGGATAAGCACTCGCATGCCTCCAGGAGAGACCCTTGAAGGCATGGATGATACTAGTCCCCTTCAGACACTAGGCAGAGGTCAAGAGGTCTCACTCCAGTGGGGAATCTGGATCATAGGAAAAAGCCCGAACCTTTAAGGCTGGGTGGTTATTTGTTGTTGATTTTGTTGCTCTGTTCTGTTTTGCCTAAGTGCCTTTTTACCTGGATTCCAATTCAATCACTTCTGCATATTAGTAGCACGTATGCTAATTCAGTGACATGTGCTCTTCTCCCAAACTTGATAGGTACAATGTAGGTAAAGACCTTGATGCTGGGAAAGACTGAGGGCAAGAGGAGAAGGGGGAGGCAGAGGATGAGATGGTTGGATGGCATCACTGACTCGATGGACATGAGTTTGAGTGAGCTCTGGGAGATGGTGAAGGATAGGGAAGCCTGGCGCTGCAGTCCATGGGGTCACAGAGTCTGAGCAACTGAACAACAACAACAACAATACAGGTGCAGTTTGGTGACCCACCACTCAAACAGGATAACCTGTTTGTCCCTCTGCCCAAACTCCTTGCAAATCTAAACTGAGCGCCGCAGAAGAGGCCAAAGCACGGAACCCCAGGCTTAACCGAGCCGCTGTTGTCCAGGGGCTGCTCGCCGCCTTCCCTCTCTAGCCCATTCTCACTAGATGCTTGGGGGTCGTTTTACCAGGTTTAGCAAATGAAACTACAGGACTCCAAATTAAAGCTGAATTGCAGATAAACCACAAATAATGTTTTAGTTTTTGGGTCCTACACACTGTTGGAACAAGAAAGAATGTAAAAAAAAAAAAAAAAGAAAAGAAAAATTTAACCATACTTTAAATTTCCTTGATTTCCATTGAAAAGATGGAAGATAGAGAAAATCTTCCCCAAAATAACAGAACACAGAAACAGAGATAGAAACATGGGATACAAGACACTAAACAGATCCTTCAAGGAGGCAGTCCAAGAGCAAAACAGAATGAATTCCAAAGACAGAAAACAGAGGGATGGCAATTACCAAAGAAATAATTTAAGAATATGTCCAGAACTGAAGGACGCAAGTCTCCTGATCATGTGAGATGACCAAATTGCTACCACCATCGATGAAAAGAGCCTCACACCAAAGCACATCATGACAAAACTAATGATCACGTGGGACAGAGAAAATCCTAAAAGCTCCTGAGCAGAAAAAAGCAAGGTACAAACACAGATAACAGTATCAGAATGGTTGTTGTGGCCACTGGGAAACAATGGGAAAACTGCTTATAAAATTCTAAGAGAGAAAGGTTTTTCACTTGGTCAAATCATTTAAATGTAAATGTATTAGGAGAACATTTTCAGACATTTTAGACACCAAAATGGAGGAGCAAATCAGGAAAAGGG